ATATCTGCCCCTGCCCTCCCTCCTTTTTTTTTTTTTTTGAGAAAATCAAACAGGTTTAAATCCTGTTTTAAACCTTAATTTTAATCTTAAGGACTTCTCAGGACCAAGTGTTGGATTGACTTAGTATCTACATTTTTCAAAGACAAAGACATTTGAAAATGTTGAAATGTGAGCAATTGTAACTTGCATTCTATTTCACTCTATCACTTATGTCCTTTGTTTTCTGAAAGGATGTAGATACTCAGTCACTGAGTGTTTTGAGCTGTTTTTCCCCCTGAGAATTCTGTAGCTTTATGTATATCCTTTTCTTGCAAGCAGTTATTGGTGAAACGGCTGTGGAAGATCCTGAATGTCAGTCAGCTTACAAACAGGATGGAGGCTATGATGTCGACCCGATAGCATAGTTCATCCACTCCACGAGGCACCAGGGGGAGAATGCTCTCGGGTTCAGTTGTCAGACGTAAGGCCATTGCCGGGGACGCTGGCTTCTTAGGCAGCTGTGCCATCACCACTGTGAATGCTGCTGCTGCCACCACAGGAGAGCAGTGCTTGGCCAGTGTCTCAACTCTGGTTCGCAGCTACGGAAATGAAATCTTGTCAACACGTGCAGACTGCCTCAGGTTTTCCAGAGATCAGCCAGTGTGCCAGCTTAGTCATTGGTCTTAAGAACTTCAGCTGCGCAGTGCACTGAGTAACATTCTGTGATCGAGGCCTTCTCTCCCCCCACGCAGACATAAACACCCGAGGGGGAGCATGGAGGCTGATAAAAGGAGGAAGAGGGTCTCCAAACCTAATCCACAAAGGTCCCAGAGAAACTTGATAAAGCATCCTGACCCCACAACTATGAATGCCTCTCTGATCATTAAAAGAGTTGGGTCCTCTATTTTCAGGGTCCCTTACCCCTTTTACAGTCCTGGGGAAGCACTGACAAATTCTGCCCAACTCCTGTCTTCCACTGTTGCCCGATAATTAAGCTGTCTACATCATTCAAGCCATGTTCTTCCTGGCCTTGGATGATCTGCCTCTAAGGTGCAGATACCTGTTGCGATTTATAATACATTAATTTTTTTTTTTTTTTTTTTACTAATTTGATGAGCACTGAAAGGAAGTTTGATGTTTTCTAAAATTGTGAGCCTGTACCTGTATGATCAGTACTTTGTATACCTAGTAGTTGTTCTCAGAATAACCATTGTCGAGTTGTGAATGACTGGTTGTATTGGATGTGATCAAATAATACTGTGATTGTGGTGTGGTGGTGTTGTTTTAGGTTGGTTTTTGGTTTTTGTTTTCTTTTGGAGACAGGCTCTTGCTATAACCCAGGTTGGAGTGCAGTGGCGTCATCATAGCTCACTGCAGCCTCAAACTCCCAGGCTCAAACAATCCTGCTGCCTCAGCCTCCCAAGTAATTGGGACTACAGGCATGTGCTACCACGCCCGGCTAATTTTTGTATTTTTTGTAGAGACAGGGTCTCACCGTGTTGCCCAGGCTGGTCTTGAACTCCTGTCCTCAAGCAACCCTGCTGTCTCAGCCTCCCAAAGTGCTGGGATTACAGGCATGAGCTGCCACACCCGGCCTAATTGTGTTTTAATACTGACCGAAGGTGGCAGCATACCCGAGTCTCTTGTCAGGACATCGTGCCTCATATTCAACATAATGTGTCCAGTACTGTCCACCCATTGGTGTAGGTGAAAACTAAAAGAAGCTGGGTGATCAACACACTTGACAAAATGACTAATTACTTGCAAATGTGCTTCCCGTTCCATTCATGTTCTTCCTAATGTCTTTGCTTAAAAACAGATCTTCCATTCACAGTGACTGCTGCTGCTCTTTCCTGTGGGTTTGTATCCCATACAGCACCCAGACACCTGATAGATACGCTCTAAATAAGTGGACAGGCCTGGGGGAGGCCGATGGTCACAGCTGCTTTGAGTGGTGCTCGTAGTGTGATGTTCTTGCTGCTTGGGACAGTTAATAGGCAGTGAAGAGAGCATTAGTTGGGGAGATGATTTTCCTACCTTCAAGCAATATGACATAAATAGAGCCATTTGCTTGTTTGGCCATATAGAAAATGGGATAGAAAACACAAATAGTTTGTGTGTGTTTAACAGTTGGTGATTGATGTTTATGATATTGTGATATAATAAGAAATGTCTTTGTCCCTGGTTCCTGGCAGAGAGCTCGTAAAATCCTTGGAATTTCCTGAATAACAGGGGTGATAGGAGCATCTTCTGTTATGTATTTAGTCTTAGTCCACAGCTGTTGATGCAAGAGCTTCTTTCTAAGATCCTTAGACTCTACAGAGTGATAAGAGTGGTTTTTGTATGCTAATGAGGTGACAGGTAGCTGGGAGACCCTAGATGGTTCCAGCCTAGAGGCCGGTCACCAGAAAGACAAGGCATGATCATAGCGAGGGGAGTGTACCTAGAAAGGGCACGGAAACTCTGTGCCTCTTTCCCCAGACCTTGCCCTATGTATCTCTTCCATTTGGCTGTTCCGGAGTTGCATCCTTTGTAATAAACTCGTAATAGTAAACAAAGTGCCTTCCTGAGTTCTGCGAGCCATTCTAGCAAATTTATCAAACCTGAGGAGGGGACTGCGGAAACTCCATGACTTCATAACCCATCAGTCAGAAGTATGGGAGGCCTGGACTAGCGGTTCACATCCTGAAGCGAGGGCAGTCTTGTGGGACGGAGCCCTTTAACTCGTAGGATCTGACACTAACTCCAGAATGGAATTGTGGAACACCTAGTTAGGGTCCAGAAAGTTGGAGAACTGGCAGGTGTGAGGGAAAAGCCCACACATTTGGTGTCGGAAGTATTGGTAGTAGAAACAGGTCAGAGAGACATACATCCATTTTGTGTGTTACCCTTGTGGTAGCAGGTACCTTCGCACATCAACACGAAAGTGTGATTTCTGGTCATAGATGATACAGCCGACAGGGCTGCCATCCTGGTACGTGAGGGCACCTGAAATGACCAGCGAACATCAGGAGACGATACGGAGATGTCATCGGTGTTGGTTTGCAGACCAAGTTGTTGCAAATGTAGACATCATTCAAAGATGTCGTTCACCCAAAAAATGTATTGTGTTTGATACATTTGTCTCATATCTGTGATGCAATTTTTTTTGTCTGTTTTAAGCCAAAAAGGGGGGCTGTTGATGTTTTACATTACTCTTTTTTACTCTTTTGAGCCCTCCTTTGGGAGAAAGGAAAGATACTACTGCTAGAGATTTTCCAACAGACATGGACCGTCATGTTCCAGAAGTGTCAACCTTTGAACTGGACAACTGTTCTAACCCTTTTCTCCTCTCAGTTGTCCTTTTCTTGGGACGCTACTTCTTGAATACGGACCACCTCAAATGCAGACAAGCACTGACGTTAGCCTTCCCGGAAGAATGTTAGAGTATGCAGGCATTTGTGTGGTAGCAGATGCACAGGTCAGCTCCTTGGTTATTTTTGTTCCTTATAAAGCACAGTGGGAACATGCTATTCTCAATAAACTATAAGTTATCAGGGAAAAGATCTTTGTGTTAGAGCACAATTGATTCAAAGTATCACAGAACATTTTAATGTCAGAAATGTGCACGTATTTTTTTAGACTCATTTAATTTTTCTTTTGCTTTGTGTAACAGAGTCTTACGTTAGTTGCTTCAGCTCTCAATGGGATATCAGTGAAGCTTTGTGACCCTATGGCCCCAAACAAACAAAAAGCATATTTCTGTATCCAATGGAGGATGACATTCATATCTAACAATGATAAGAAAATATTTTTAAAAGCCATTTTGCAGTTTAGACTCTTGAAGTATATCTGACTGCTCTGCTCTGCAGTCAGCACAAGGCTAAGTGAGAAACAAGGGATGTAAGGGCCACGTTGCCTACATCTTCAGGCCTCAGGGTTTTATTGCAAGGAGACACCATGTGCCACTGCGTTTGAGCCTCGGTAAGAGACAAGTCCCAGCCAGCCTCTCACTTCAGCCCTCTTCATCCCTCACTAGAAAACTGGCTTCTCTTCCCACTGTTTAAGAAACACACATAGATCAATTTTTTTTAGCATATTGATAACCTTTAAGCAGGCTCTTCATCCTCCTAACCTTGGTTTTATCTGTGGTTTAAAATAAAAATCAAAATGGAAACCCTATTTGAATGTAAGGTAAAACCAAGAAAAATATTTTTCAAAGTCACTTCATGTATTTCTCTTTTTTTAAATTGGCTCACTTTCCAGATAAAAATATACAGATGTTTATAAAATGAATCTGCTTTAAAAATCTAGGAAAAAAAATTAATTTTTGATTAAATTTGGCAAACTGGATATCTGCATTTCATCATATATATCTTGTTTTCTACCAGTTGTAATAATTTACTTTTGTTAAAATATCAAGGTATCATTTGATTTGTGACTTTCTTAGAACTTATAGAATGAGATATGGTATTATGTTTGTGCAAAGATTACTTTAAATTCCTAATTTAGAAATCTCCCATTGGGTCATTAGTAATATCTTATAGGTCTAATTTTTATTATGTAGGTAGGCTTCATTAAAGCTATTTAAAATTTGTTCCTGATGGAGTAAGTCCCTCCCTCCAAATAAGTCAATCTTTCCTTGAAATAAATTTTGCCATTTAAAAGAACTAAGGAATGTCAAGGAATTTCATGTTTCTATTTCTATGAATGAGATTTATTAATAAGTCTTAATATATAAGCCAACGGTATTTCCTTTCTGGGTACTATGTGAATGTATTTAAATAAATACTTAGCTTTAGTCATCAAATTATTATTCACTAAACAAAAACATGCTGAGTAAACTTTAGTGTTCACCAAAAGGGCAGAAATCACAAAATAATTTTCTTTTTACAAGTTGGATGGTACCGGGTAATATCCTCCTTGTTTAATTATGAAATAGAAGATGTTTAATAAAACTTAATTGTATCTCCTCTGGAATTGTATAGATTGGATCGTACAGTTACCAATAAACGCCAATGGTGATTATTTCCTTTTCACAGTGCTCCAGCTGCGGCTGCAACAGAGGAGGACGAGAGAACAACTAGTGGACCAGGGCATCATGCCACGTAAGATTTACAGCATTACCGTTGTGTCCCTCATGATGTAACAAGATGGGCATGTCCAAAAAGCACCTGTATCCCACTCTAATTCAGTTGTATCCATTGAATCAACAATTGCCAAATAAATTTATAAGGAAAAATCAGGCATCTGCATTGCCAACCTAAGAGAATCATTTAGAATACATTTTAAAAACCAGATGTACTTTAAAATTAAGATGGACTGGAATTGATTGATTTATTTAAAATATTTAAATATTTCAGAAGACTGGAAAGTATAGATTCATTTTGTAATTTCTAGTGTTTTATAACTGAATCGTTTCTAGCCCATAAACCATTTCTTGGCTTATGATAAGGAAGGATTTTTCTCTACAGTGGATATTTTTCCCAGTTAAACTTTTTTTTTTCCTGGACTATTATTAATTATCTAAATATTTTAAATCTAGCATTGTGATAGTCAAAAGTTCCTTTGATACTCTGCCAGATTTCTCCACCACCACATTCCTGACTGTGAACCAATCAATCAAACTGGATCAAATTATGATGTTTCAGACACCACTGCTAGGCCAGCTCTAATCTGCTTTGGGGAGCTGGTCCCTAGCCAAACCTGATTGGGCTGGGCTCCTGGGAGTCTCTGGGTGCCTCAAGTACTAGTGCTGAAAATAATGCTGTAGGAGCTGATTGGTCAAGTCTTGGAGATGACAGCCCAAAGAATCCTAGTCCTATATCCCATCCACTCATCTGACTTCCTGTGTAAGTGCAGGGGTTATTGGGCAATAGTGGACATACACGAAAAGGATAGTGCAAAGATAACTGATAGAAATACTGTCATAGGTGATGTTTTGGTAAACACTGCTAACCCTCACAATGGGATTCTAGAATATTTGATGTACTGGCAGTTGGCATATTAAGGAGTCACTCTGTCTTTAGAGTGAGTTGCATTGTAGTATGGTAGAAAGAACATGAACCTTTCAAACTCAAAAGCCTAGATTTAAATCCCACTTTGACCACCATCTAGCTGTCTGACCTCAAGGATTCACTTAACCTCTCTGAGCCTTCATCTGTACTGGGGCTTACACCTACCTGGCAAGGTTGTAGTGAAGACCGACAGGAATACGATTACGATTGACCACAGAGCATAGAGCTAAGCTCCATTGTGGGTTCTCAATAAATGGTACTTCAGATTTGTTGGGTATAGAGTGTCGTGTGTTCAAGGTTAGATCACTCCCGAGAACATTTGGGCTTTTTCCAGTAGCTCCAATGGCCATTAAGAGCAAGGACCTGTTAAGGAATCATCAAACATTTCCCTTGGCAATGAAAATTTGCCCTGACTAGTGGTTGGAACTAGTCTGACATGATATTTGCATTGTCGTTATATATGTAACTCTATTTATAATGTCTACTGGTTTTATTTGTGAAATACATAATTTTCTGTAACATTTGAGGTTTCAAATTTTGCAGATCTCATGAAGGAACTAGTAAATAAATTGGAACTGTAGATGTGAACTAATAGGATTATCAACATGATATACTGTAACTGTGGGCTGAAGTATGAACGCCTCTATTTATACCATGAAAACAATTTCTTTTCCCCCTCACAGCTTTGAAGAGCCCAGCGGCATTCCATGAACAGATAAAAAGCTTGGAACGAGCCAGAGTAAGAAATTTTACTTTAAAATGTTCTACTTCTCTCCTTTATTCTAAAGTACCTATGGACAAGCAGCAATCTTATTCCTAAATATGTCAATAGCGAAAACATAGTGTATTTTCAGGATACATGGCATAGAGAGTATTTACTTGGGGGTAGTTTGATCTTAGGGGTTTATAGAAAATACATGTCATTCAAATTTTGTCCTTTTAAAACCAGTAACTAGTTTTGTACATAAAGGACAAGTTACACTTCTTCACATTCTTGCTTTCAGAGCCTAACAATGGTTTTTAGAGATGCAATAGAGGAGTAATTATGTCATTTGTTACCCCTGCAGAGAGACAGCCAAGTGAAGCACTGATGCCAGATCCTTAGGTGGTTTCCCTACTGGGTCTGGGTTACCTGTACCTGTGACCCCGAGTAGGAGAATTTGGCTAAATCGGAGAACGTTGCTACATTCAACTTTGCTTTATTCCTTGAGATGGCGCTGTCATAGTTGCACATTGCATTGGTGTTGATTATTTTCTTTAAAAATGCCATTATGAACCGGGTATGGTGGTTCATGCCTGTAATCCTAACATTCTGGGAGGCCAAGGTGGGAGGATCCCTTGAGCTCAGGAGTTGAAGACCAGCCTAAGCAAGAGCGAGACCCCGTCTCTACAAAAAATAGAAAAATTAGCCAGGTGTGGTGGCATATGCCTCTAGTCCCAACTACTTGGAAGACTGAGGCAGAAGGATTGCTCAAGCCCAGGAGTAAGAAAAATTTCTCAGAATGTAATAATAATCTCCTAGAGTCTTATAAAATATAAAACCCATTTTAAAGTCCTATTGCTTAAGAATTAAATACAGTTCTAATTGAGAAAATATGATCAAGGATATGAACTCATGAAAGAAAATACATTAGGATTTTTAGGAAATTTGTTATCAAAGTGGATTCTTACTTGACCCAAAGTATAGATTTCATTGATTTTAGATATTTAAGTGCTCTAAATCTTATGTTTATTGAAAAATCATATTCAAAATCATGAGTTTTTGACGTTGCCAAGTTTTAAAATAAAATTCTATAAAGTGCTTACTTTCATATCAATATACTATTCAAGTCCCTGTAAGATTTTGAAGGCTGCAGTTTAAATCATGCATTGGATAGTAGTTTCTGTAAGTACTAATTTCTACTCTTTTCTTCCTCTCAAAAGACATGACATAAAGAGTATACAATTTATTTAAACGGAGTACCTTGAAAAAAATTTAAAACCATGATAAATTGTAAATAATTTTTGAAAAGACTTTCTTATTATCTTTTTTTCAAGACCGAAAACTTTTTGAAACACAAGATTCGGAGCCGACCAGATCGTTCTGAACTTGTCAGGATGCACATTTTAGAAGGTAAAGGTTTTATTTATTATTTTGCTTCATTTTCTCAAGAAAAGAAGTGAGAATTCCACCATTTCTGTTTATTCCCATTTTAATAACTTTTTACCCCACAGGCTGACATCCTCCAAATTGGATAGCAACATGAAGACCCAAAACTAAAACATTGTTTTAGATACATGGGGAAAGTTTGATTCTCCAAATAACCAATTAATGGACTGACTCTTCCCCACCAGCTGGTACCATAGGTGCCTCTACCATACTGTTCTGGAAAAACACTTTTGGTCCAGAGGATTTCTTTATCAGTGAGGGACATGTGCCCTGCTCATTAAGTCATAAAGGGTACAACACCCCCAAGTCTAACCCTAGATTTTCAGCTACTTGGACCTTGTTTATGTCTACCTGGTGCAATGCCCACACTCAGCGTTTCTCTTTGTTGCCACTTACAGCAATTCAGCTTGATCTGACCATTATCGTAAGTGTGCCCCACCACCAAATTATCTGTCACCCAGCCTCACCGCTCACGAGGCTGGTAGGGACAGTTCCATTCCATCTTTGGCTAAACACATGGCTGAGGACATGATGTTTTTCTGTCTAAAGACAGAGCATTCTTGAAAACTAACACCTCCACCGTAAACTCCCAAGTTACATTTTCTTTCATTGTTTTGCTTCTCTGACTAATTTATTGAGCCAGACTAGGAGCTTGATCCTTTGATAGTTTGGGGTATGTTAAGCCTTGAGAAGATACAAAAAGAATCTGAAAACTTCTCAAACATGTAGAGGCAACTGTCAGATAGAAGAAAGATTTGTTCTCTCTGGGCCTAATGATCTGATTAGGATTAGAGTTAGTTCTAGAATTAGGTTGATATTACAAAGTATTAGATTGTAGCTCAACATAAGGACTAATATTCTAAAGGCCAGACATGAAATCTTCAGGAGGTGATAGGGTCACTGTTATTAGAGATACTCATTCATTGGCCAGTGTGCTAGACACCAGAGACCCAAAAAGTGAGCAAGACAGATGGATGCCTGCCTTTGTAGAACTTTGGTTCCAGTGGCAGAGACAGATAATAAACAAGGGAATTAGATGATCAGAAGCACTCTGGGGGGAATAAACAGGCTGCTGTGATAGAGAAAAAACACATCATATTAGGAATGTGGTAAAGAGGTTCCAAGTATCAAGGTGGTCTATACGACTCAAGTAGGGTCTTTTCTAATCTAAAGAATCTATGATTATGTGGCTATCCTCACTCCAGGAGCAGGAGGTGAGAGGTATATGCCTTTCTCTACTTTGGGTTGTGTTCTCAGAAGTCCACTGGACTAAAAAATCTTTTCCAGAACTCCAGTAGTAGGGTAGAGCAGCTACCAGCTGTCAGGGATAAGTGAATCTTCAAAGAAGCAAGTTTACTGGTAAGTAACCGAGTAAAGGGTTCCTTCTGTGCCTGAAAATACCTTGACCTATTAGGGATGTTTTTGTTGTAACAATGCTGTCTGTTTCCGTTTCTAACTGTAATAGACTTTATTAATATAATTAAAATCAAGGCAAATACATTTACCTATCAAAAGGAATCAGACTACCTAACATTTAAAAACCTAAAACAGTGTATATGAATGAACCGTAAGTGATGTTTTAAGGACCTCAGTTATCAAGTTGGGAGTCTTGAAATGAGAAAGAATGTCATCTTTAACTTTTAAAATGTCTTAAAACTGCCCCCCAGCTGTATTTTAACATTAAACAATTTGGATTGGATTGAAAATTTGGCGGACAAGAGTCTAAATTATTTTCTGAAGTTCAGCAGCTAAACTTCAGCCTAGTCTTGTGGAGATGGGAGGCAGTAAGACTAGAAACAGAAACAGCAAAATGCCAGGCTCTACTTACATGCTTTGGGAATATTTTCTTTCCATACTGATTGTGCTATCACTTGGATGGTGATGGGAGAGGGGGAAAAAACAGAAAGCTATCCTACCTGGATCTTAACGAAAACCATTGAAATATCAACCTACAAGCGATTCTCATGGTCTAGTTCTCCGCAACTATCATCTTCCTGTGTGGTTAGAAGTGTTTTATCTCACAAGATTGGCACCACAGTTGGTTATATAGGAAAACTATAAAAATCAGCTGGGCACACATTTTATTTTAAGTTATAGAGATATACATTCATTTGCCAATATCGCCATCCAGGGCTAGAGTCCTCTCTTTGGGGACGGCTTTAATGAATGGAATTCACATCATCTTCACTGCACAAAGCACAGTGTACACCACCTACAGTTTCCACTTATGGTGCAACAAAAACAATAGACACTTGAAAAGCAATCTGAGCTTAAAAATCATAGATTTTGTGATCTTTTTCCCAAATCTTTTACAGTTATTAATTGCCCGAACTAATTTGACAGTGATCTTTTTTTCAATGACTCACCTTTATCACGTTTCCAAAGCATTTTAAATTAGGTTTCCAAGCAATAATAATTTTATTTGGAAGTTTATCATTTTCTCATAACATTTCATTATGTATTGACAATAGCAGTCACAAGAGATACAGACTATTTCCTGGGCAATCAAGGTTGACTTCTGGCAAACAGACAGCTCAAATGGTGGGTAGAGAAGTTGCACAGGTGTACTGCAGAGTAGCTCACCAGCTTTGAGCCTCGGGCTTCAGCCAGGAAATTCTGCCTAGAATATGAATAACATCAGTTAATCCTGAGCCTACTTATGGGGAATTTCAAAAGACCTTCTTTTGTATAACTTAAGAGGCAAGCAACTTTCAACTCAGAATTTTCGGTTAATACCACATTGTTATTTTTAACCAATTATAAACATTTTGAGAACAATGGAAAAAAGCATTAATGAGAGTTACCAGAAACACAAATAATTGACAGAATGAAGCAAATGAAAGAGTTACGATGTTTACAGTAGTTTTATGTTGGTTGTACCAACTTTATGCTTTTGTAAGTAGATGAGTTGATGCTTCTTTACAACTATTAATTACCATATAATTGAATATTCCTAACAGACACAAGGATACATATTCAGAAATAAACCCAAATTCTTAATTATAATGACTGACTCTGAGACACACAGGGATCAACCCAAGAATATAAATTATAGCTTTTCCCATTGACTCCGCAAAGGAACTTACATCCTAAGAGGCAGTGGCTCCCCTACCAGAACTTGACTTCCCAATGAAGCCAAATCCAAAGCTGTAAACTTCTTGAGCCACATCTATCTTGTTCATCCTGTGTACCCCCAATACCTAATAAATGTGAACTTGACCCTCCTACCATAAGTCGAAAATAGCAATATACCCTTTTTGGCTTGAGGTCATGTTGATTTGAATCCATGAGCATCCATTTTATGTAGGCAAGGTAAAACTATCCAGGATTAAAAAGTACAAAATGCATATTAGAGCATTCTTAAACAGTCATTTTCTCTTTCCATAACTATGTTGAGAACACATAAATATGTTTAAACCAATTTAAATTCAGTTGGTCTGAAATAACATTAGGGAATAGATAATAGTAATTCAAGTAATGGTTAAAACTGTGTTTCCTCTTTTAGAAACATTTGCAGAGCCATCCCTGCAGGCTACCCAGATGAAGTTGAAAAGAGCTCGACTAGCAGATGATCTGAATGAAAAGATTGCTCAAAGACCTGGTCCTATGGAGCTGGTAGAGAAAAACATCCTTCCTGTAGACTCCAGTGTTAAGGAAGCAATTATAGGCAAGACTCTAAAAATTTACTATTTTCTGAGAGAAAGAGAAACCTGTTAGTTTTAGATAAAACAAATTTAATTAAAAGGCCAGTAACAATCATGAGTATTGTTTTCTGGGTTAACTAGAAATTTATTAACACTGACAGTGATTCTTGTTACTATTATGTATTATAAGAATTGCATCTGCTACCAATTAACAGAGATTCTTGTTATGTCTCAGGTTTATATGTTCTGATTTCATTATCACGTTTTCTAAGTTAAACTTGTATCACACTGTTTCTGTTTAATATTTTTACAAACTTTTCATTATTTTTCTATTTCTAGGAAATATAAAGAAACATAGCTTGTTCAATGTTAGTTCACGAAGGTGAATAGCAAGTGAATAGATGTATTCATTAAGAATGGCAGTATCTGTCCATTTTATCCTAGTCTTATCATACTTAGTTACTGATGTTTCTCTTTTTGTTTCTGGCAAGCTTTAGCACAAAAAAAATCATTTCAAGAATAATGCTTATTCAGCAGGTAATTTTGAAAAGTTAATATCTAATCTTAAAAACTGTCATAGTTTTCGTTATTCCTGGGAACTTCATATTTTGCATTAGTATGAGTTTAAAGCTCAGGCAATTCGTTGTCAGGAATTCCAAGTAGTACAGTCAACTGTAATTCCATGCAATCCTAAAGAGATGGACCCCAAAAAGTAAGACATCAGTATAGCTGGGCTGCTCTTTGAAGTGGGAATTTACCAATAGACACCCAGGCATAGCCCCATCATCTCATTTTTTTTTAAACAGTTGGATTCTAGATCAGAATCCAGATGTTGCCTCTGGCTGATATGCCTCCTAAATCTTAATCTATTGGGTAGGTCTTCTTCCTTCCCTTTTTTCCTTACTGCTTATTTGTTGACAAAACAGGCTTGTTTTGTCCTCTAAGATGTCCCACGTTCTCAATTCTGCTGATTCCATTTGCATCCCCTGGTGTCATTGAAAACATTCCTGTCCCCTGTACGTCCTATAACTGGTAGGTGGACACAAAGGCTTGATGCAGTTCAGATCTGATTTGTTTTTCCCAAGAATACATCATAGGTAGTGGTGTGTTCTTCCATTGGGAAGTATATTATGTTCAATTTTTCTTAAACCAGCTTCCTAAATTTTCATAGGAAACAATGTTTCTCCTTCTTTTTCATATTAATCTTGATATTCCAAGGCCAACTTAAACCAAGAATCATTTCTTTCTTTAGGCGTTGGGAAGGAGGACTATGCCCACACTCAGGGTGACTTCTCATTTGATGAAGACAGCAGTGACGCTTTGTCTCCAGACCAGCCCGCGAGCCAGGAGTCGCAGGGGTCAGCCACGTCCCCAAGTGAGCCAAAAGTTAGTGAATCGCCATCTCCTGTGACTACCAGCACTCCAGCCCAGGTATTACCTCTCTGGTTTTGATCCCTAAATAGAGAAAGTGCCTTATTTTTTATGTATCAAAGTAATAAAATTTCACTGGAAGAAAAATCTGAAAATGCTGAAAAATTGAATAGGCTTTTCACCTGTAATCCAAAACACTGTTAAATTTTTTCAATAGATTCTTACATATTATTCCTACTCTACATGCATGTTTTTATTTTTTACAAATGGTTTTGTACCTTGCTTTTTAAAAATCTTGACATACCATAAAATTCACCTTTTTTTGCCATCTTAACCATTTTTAAGTGTACAGTTTAGTAGTGTTAAGTACATTCACATTGTTGTGCAACAGATCTCCAGAATGTTTTCATCTAGCAAAACTAAAACTCTGTAACCATTAAACAGCTCCTCCTCCTGCTCTATCTGCCCAGCCCCTAGTAACCACCATTCTACTCTCTGTCTCTGAATTTTACTACTCTAGGTACCTCATGAAAGTAGAATCATACAGTACGCGTCTTTTTGTGACTGTCTTAGTTCACTTAGCATAATGTTCTCAAGATGCATCTGTGTTGTATCATGTGACAGGATCTCCTTCCTGTTTAAGGCTGAATAGTATTCCATTGTGTGAATATATTCACACTGTGTTTATTCATTAGCTGATAGATAGTGTGTTGCATCTGTCCCCTGGCTATTGTGAATAATGGTGCTGCAAACATGGGTGTGCATATCTCTTCAAGACCCTGCTTTCAATTTCTTTGGCTGTATGTCCAGAAGTGGGATTATTGGGTCATATGGTAGTGGTATTTTTAATTTTTTTTGAAGAACCTCCATACCATTCTCCATAGCAGTCATACCTCACCATAGGGCACATGGGTTCCAGTTTCTCCACATCCTTACCAGCAGCTGTTACTTTCTATTCTTTCAGTACTAGCCATTCTAATGGATGTGAGGTGGTATCTCCTTGTGGCTTTGGTTTGCATTTCTCTAATGATTAGTGATGTTGACCATCTTTTCATGCACTAGGCCATTTGTTTATCATCTTTGGAGAAATGTCTTTTGTCCATTTTTTAATCCAGTCATTTTTTTGTTGTTGTGAAAGTTCTGTTTTCTAGATATTAACCCCATGTCAGATATGATATGAAATACATTCTCTATTCCGTGGGTTGCTTTTCCACTCTATTGATTGTGTCCTTTAATGCACGGTTTTTTGGTTTGATACAGTCCATTTGTCTATTTTTGTTTTTGTTGCCTGTGCTCTTGGTGTCATACTAAGAAATCATTGCCAAATTCAATGTCATGAAGCTTTTGATAATTGCATTAGAAATTTGCATTTCTTAAGAAGTGTTCATGTTTGTTGGTTTTAAAAGAATTCCTATGCTACACATAATTTGTTTTTAATCTCTCGTAGCATTTTTGCCTTAATAGTGTTTAGTTAAAGTCAAAACTATTGAACAGCTTAATGGGAGTGGTCAAGTTCAGCAGAGAATGTTCTTGTTAATAAGCCTGGCATCATAGGGTTCTTGAGTTGGAAAGGAATTTAGCAATTATCTGCTTTAACCCTTACATAAGAGGTGGCCTGGGCTCACGGAGGTACAGAAGTTTTGGAATTAAAAATGTTTGTGTATTTTCTTACATCATTTCCTCTCATTCGTGAACATTTATTTGTTAGGAACTATGTCTTTCAGCCATCATTTTCTTCATTGCATTTATCACCGTGATCTGAAATATGTTGTTTGTTGTCTTGATGCCTCCAACTAAAAAGTGAGCCTGTGAGGAAAAGGACTTTCACTCTTAGAGGACGAGAGCTATTTTGGAGAGAGCACGCGTGTGTGTGTAACATAGCACAGGGCCTGGTACGGAAAAGGTACTTAATAAACACTGAATTGAATTGAATTAGGTACCATGAGTGCAGACTGACACAGGGCTTGTAGAAAAGTTTCTGTTCTCCTTCCATTCGAAAGTAGAGCCTAACAACTCGGACTTGACAGAGGTAGCGTGGGTGGCTACAGTCCAGATTGTCCACATTCCCAGGGCAAGAGTGACTGTGGCCCCTTGGCTTTGCTGGACACTGGCCTGGAAGAAGGATGAGGGTCAGTGACCAGCCGTGCTCTGAGCAGGCAGCAGGGGAGACTATCCCCTACTGTGTTCTCACATATTTGCTGTACCCTGGTTTTGAGCTTTAAAAATAGGGTAAAAAGAATGTCAAGTATGCAAGTAAATACCATTAAAAAGCAGCTCCACTTATCCATTTGGGTGGTGGCTCCCTACTGCTGTCTGAGTAGGTTAGGATGTCAGACAGCTATTAGCATGGCCTTAGCTTTTAATAAGAGTTTTTGTCACCGCGGCCATCTTCCTGTTGATGGCTTCATGCAATTCCACCTGCATGAAAGATTACCATTCTCCTTTTCCCTGTATTGCTTGTACTATTATATTTTTCACATTACTCTTGAAAGAGTAAGTTTATAAGTGAGAAACTTTAACCAGATGCAGTCCCACCCAGTGGGCTAACATTCCAGAATCCCTTGAAGGGAAATAGGAATAGCAGTGTTTCTTGAAGAATACATGTGGTCTGTTTACTGCCAGTGCGGTGCACACTAAGCCTTGGGTCACTCCTGAACTTGGGACTTAGTGCTGCTGCAGTTCTGATTCTGCCTGCAAACCATCAGCAGTCAACTGGGCTAAAGGAAAAAGACCCACTTTACAGAATGTTAACAATCATACATTCAAGAAAAGGAACTGAGAGTCAGAGATGGCGCCACTGTAGCTTTACCCGTTAAATAATTTCTGCCCTGCATGCCTTAAGTGTTCTAATATTTATAAGTGGGGAATCCAATAAGGATTCTTATTATACTTTTCTTTGTGCCATAAAGAAGCATGTCCCTGGTAACGATGCTATATTGATGTCAAAGAAAGATAATCCTCAGGTAGAACTGTAAATACATTGTAGGCGTTTTCATTTTTTAAATCAACTACAGAGGGAAACTTTAACATGTTGGTAAAGTCTTTGGGATTTTTGTGTCTATAAGTGACAATTAGGTTTTGTTTTGGCAAATTTTGTGCTTTATTTTCACTGTTACCCAGTTTGTCTAGGCATCTCCATGTATATAAAATATATTGTCTTTGGTAGCTCAAGGGGAAAGGGTCTTAACACATTGTTTTACATTAGATATCAGGTACCTAGAAGGCAGGGCTTTCCCCTCACTTTATCTTAGTACCCTCATACTGAACACACAGGTCCAACACACAGCAGCTATTTATTGAGTTAATGAATGAGCAACCACAGGAAATTATCTCTGCAATCTATTTTTTCCTGTTTTAGAATTATGATCCTACCCCCAAAGAGCAGTCACATCACTGTTTATTGACATCACTATTTATTGAAATAGTCCCTATAAACAAAGATAAGACATTTATGTGAATCTTTTATTATCTTTTGGGTGTTCTTAGAGAAGAGTTACTGTAGCCCACTCCTCAAATTGGCTGTAGTGAAGGACTAGTGTGTGTTTGTTTAAAGTACAGTAAGTGGTGGAGTAACGTCAACTTTCTGTATAACTTCCTATACTTGTGTCTTCACAGGGAAAGGTCCACAGCCCATACCTTAAAGAGCTCTGCCATAGATTTTACTTTGTTTCTTGTTTACCTGAGCAAAGTTTTTTCTTCTTTTTTTTAGAAACAGGGTCTTACTCTGTCACCCAGGCTGGAGTGCAGTGGTCCAAATATAGCTCACTGTAACCTCAAATTCCTGGGCTCAAGCAATTCTCCTGCCTCAGCCTTCCAAGTAGGTGGGACTACAGGCACAGGCCACCACACCCAACTAATTTTTTTTTTTTTTTTTTAATTTTTAGTAGGGAGAGGGTCTCACTGTGTTGCCCAGGCTAGGTCTCGAACTGCTGGCTGCCTCAGCCTCCCAAAGTGCTGGGATTACAGGGGTGAGCCACTGCGCTCAGCCAAGTTTTTTCATATGTCGATTAATCATCATTTTGTGCTACACATCTAATCCTAAACACATTTTTCTAATTTCCCTGTTTGTTTTTTGCACTTGACCTGATACAAAGCAAAAGCCAGTGCAGAGAATTTCTTTTAGGTTCTTTAAAAGTTATATTTACAGATAATTAGTTAAAATTAGGCTTGAGATTTCTTTATGCCTTGCTTTCCTCCAAAATGTCTTATAGTCTTCTTAATTCTTTTTCAGAACACACAGATACCAGAGGATTAAGTCCTACAGAAAGTACTTAAAGAACAGATTATTCAGGCACTTCTCTTGCAATCCCACAGCTAAAATGCTAATGACCTCACAGAGTAAAAAAATTCTTCTTTGAAATATGTATTTCTGTGTGGTCTGCAAAAGACTAAAACTGCTTATCCTTGGATTTTTCTCTTTTTAATTCTGATCAAAGTGTAGCTGGAAAGGAATTTACCAAAATATTAACGGAACACACATCACATACTGGAGCTCGATTTATTTTGTGCTTAAGCAACTCTTGAACAATGGAAAGCTGTAGGAAATTAAGAGCAGCCATATGTGCACACTAGGAGCTGCTACACTGGTCCTTTTAATCTGGAGATTCTTTTCTCTCAGCAATTTCTTAAGCCCTTTAATAAATCATTTATTATAAACACCCAGATATTTAACTGTAACCCAGATGTTTAACTATAAGCAGGACCTGACAATTTTTTTTAATTTTCAAAGCCTAGTAATGCTAAAAGGAACCTGGTTGGTCAGCTACTCTGTGTATTTTCAGGAAGATAAGCTTAGGAGACTTTGATAAGCTATTTTTTCTCATTGTATCAAGTAACTTTCAGGTATATGATCTTTTGCCAAATAATGTAGAAACCTTAGGTTTAAGCTAACAAAAAGAATGAGCAAGGTCTAATAGGTAAGCCACATACATATATATTAGATAATCCAAATTTGACTGTTATAAATACCTACCAGGAGAAGCCTGAATAGGGCTTCAAAGACATAGACTCTAATTTCTACCCCTTCAGTTATGCTTTACATAACTTACATGTCAAGAGTG